CCCCACCCCCGCGCTCCCCATGAGTCCTCAGCCCTCTGAAACAGCGGCTTCCCAGCCTCTGGATCCTCGCCTTCAGGGTCCAGACCTTTAGACGTTTAAACAATCACGATGACTTTAACGATTAAATTCCCGTGGGAGCTGGGCATGGCGGCTCAAGCCTGTAATACTAGCAGTCTGGGAGGCTGAGGCAGGAGGATTGAAAATTGGAATCCAGCCTGCACCATTTAGCAACTTCGTGAGACTGTCTCAAAATAAAAAAGGCTTGGGGCTGTCGTTCTGGGCTGAGAATGAAGGCCCAGGGTTCATTCTCTAGTAAAGGGGGGAAAAAAAAAATCAGTGGCTGGAGACACCTGAGTATTAATACCTTGTGATTTGGGAAGAAGCTCTTTTGGGAATAAGCCTTTAAGAGGAGGAAATTTTGGGGCCCATTGGTCACAGGCCCAGTGTGATCCTGGGAGCCAGGCTGAAAGGACAGCTCTCTGCCAACCTCATTCATCTAAGGACCCTCAGAACCTTGTTCCCTCCTGTGTGTGTGTGTGTGTAACCTTGCATCCGAGCCCGCAGTGAGATCGCAAGCCCGTAGGACTGCCAATTCCTTTAGAAGGATCAGCAAGCAGAAACAGCAGTCAGGATTTCGTTATAGATGAGATCCCCTGGGTGTGACAACCTCGGTCAAGCTGGTGGACTAGAAAATAGGAAGAAATGTGGTTATTTGGAGAAAGGAGAAAACGTAGGAAAATAAAGCCTTTAAAGAGAAATTTCACAGCTCTGTTTTTCAGGAAAGGAGTTAGCTACCCAGCTTCAGTTTCATTGATAGGGAAATATTTTATAAATAGCAAAACCCATAAAGTGTTACAATGTAAAATGGCTTCTGCTGTCTCTAACAGCAGTTTGCTTTGTTTAACTCAAAACTAACAGGCACCGAAGGCACTAATTGGCATTTGGTCTTACCCTGAGATAACACTCAAGATCTTGAGCTCTGATGAGACTGGAGCCACCTGATCATAAAAATGTCTAAATGAAAGAACCCATTGCTAACATTTGCTCCCCTGACCCTGAACACCCCCTTCCTATGGGCTAGAATAGATAGGTGAATCTTAAAGGTAAACTCCCCAACTGCAAAGAACTATTATGTCTGGGTTGAAAGGATTAACTATTCTGTGTCATGATTTGAACTGTGAGAATGAAACATAACCACCCAAATGAAGTCAAGGTTGTAAAACCCTATAAAAGGAGAAGTTGTAACCCAGTGCGTCATCGGTCCAGGCACAGCTTATGTGTGATCGACCCTTATCGATAAGTAAATTTGTTATTTTATTTCCGTTCTGCTGCCTCTCTGTATGTCACTTACTGATTCCTTCCGTAACGTCATGAGATAGAGAGAGAGGGTGTGGAGACAGATTATGTCAACTGCACATAGACAGGACCTCACTTCTTCCTGCTTAACCAGAGCCTTTTCTTTCTTTTTCTGAATTGCCCTGGTGAGCTCCCCCAGGACGTTGTGGGACAGCTGTGGCAAGCGTGGGTGTCCTTGTGCTGGCCTCAGCCTTAGAGGGGAAGTGAAGTCTTTCTCCTTCGAGTCAGAAGTCCCGTGCAGGGTTTCATAGATGGTCTGGTCTCATCAGGTGGAGGAAATTTCCTTCTGTTCCCAGTTTGGGGACCGTTTTTATCATGAAATGGTGCTGAATTTTCTTGAAAGTCTTTTCTGTATCTGCTGGGTTGACAATGGAAGATTCATTTTATTCTATTATATGGTGTATTTCATTAATTTACTTTTGAATGTTAATCCAAATTTGCATTCCTGGGATAAATCCAACTTTGCCATACTGTGTAGCCCTTTTTATGTTTTTGGGTTGGATCTGCTAATGTTTTGTTGAGAATTGTATCTGTTTCTGTAGAGATACTGGACTCTCCTGTGCTGTCTTCCTCTGTGGGATTATCAGGGTAATGGTGGCCTTGTACAGTGGTTGGGAAGTGTTCCCTCCTCCTCTGTTTTGGAAAGAGTTTGTGAAGAACTGGTATTTATTCTTCTCTAAGTGTTTGGTAGGCTTTGTGAGTGAAGCGTCTGGGCCTGGACTTTCCCTTATGGGAAGTTTATTGATGATTCATTTCATCTCATTATTTGTTATAGATCTATATTAGTTTGTAGGGTTGCAGTAATAAGGTACGCTGGCACAGTACAGAAAATGCGAATAGACTTGTTACAGGCTGAATTGTGTCTTTCATGCCCCCACGCGTATTGATTAAGGGCCTAATGCCAGGGTCTCAGAATAGGACTGTCTTCAAAGAGGTGATTGAATTAAAATGAGACTGAAAAGATGGGGCCCTAGCCCAGTATGATTGGTGCCCTTCTATTAAAGGAGAGGAAGAGATACTTGAGGTGTCATTTCATAGAAGAAAGGCTGGTGAGGTTGCAGTGAGAAGGAGGCCAGCTGACAGCCAATAGGAGAGGCCCCACTTGCCTTACCTGCCAGAGCTGCCTCACCTTCATCTTGGATTTCCAATCTATACAACTGTGACAGAATGCATGCCTATGTTTAAGTACCCAGTCCGCAGTGTTGCAGTATAGCAGCACTGGCCAGCTAAAATGTCCAGCCTGTAGCTGCTCATGTAATGACTTTAGGGTCCTACAGCCAAGAACCTGCTCCTTCTCTGCCCTCCCCATCCTTCTTCCCTTTCCTTTGTCCCTTGCCTGTTCTCAATGCCTCCCCTCCAGATGACAGGTACTAGACACTGTAGTCCCCCCTTATCATAGGTACACATTCTAAGACCTTCAGTGGGTTCCTGAACTCTCGGATAGTACCAAACTCTATACAGACTGTTTTCCCCCCATATATGTATTTAATTTATAAATTAAGAATAGCAAGAGATTAGCAATAGTAACTAGTAATGGAACAATTATAACAATATACTATAATAAAAGTTACTTAAAATGTATGAATTGAAATTGCTTATTTTGGATTTTTTTTTTTTTCATTTTCAGTGCTGGGACTATACCTAAGGCCTCAAACATGCCAGGAAACTGCTCTACCACTGAATTAGGGCCTCAGCAACTTTTTATTTTGTTTTGAGACAAGTCTCACTAAGTTGTCCAGGTTGGCCTCAAACTTGCAATCTTCCTGCTTCAGCCTCCTAAATAATAGGGGTTATTTAGGTTGAGTGCTACTGTGCACAGCTTGGAGTTTTTCATTTAATACTTTCAGACCTTGGTTGACTGTAGGCAGTTGAAACCACAGAAAACAAAACCATGGCTAAGGGGGGCTATTACATTCAATTATAGAATCATTCCTGCTTTCAGATAGTACCAAACCCGCAGCGACCTCCTGTTTCCTTAGACAAAAGTCAAATCGTGTGATGGGTTCTTTCTGACCCTTTCTTGGTCACAGCTGTGGTTCCCTGTGGTGTCCCTCCTCCTCTGTTGTGATGAGTAGTGCAGGTGTATATCGGGATCAGTCAGTCCCCTGACCTGCCGAGAAAGGGGTGTGCAGTGAGTTCTAATGAAAGAAAGACAAAGAGACAGAATTTCAAAGTACATGGGTGGCTGGGACTTTGCCAGAGTGGGCAAAGACAAAGACACTCCAAGCTGGCCACAACCTGTTGGGCACACAGTTATCCGAGGTATCGGGTGACTCACAGGACAGCTGCTGATTTTATGTTGATGAGGACAGGGAGACGGGCAAAGCATCCTTACAATAGTAGGTGGAATGAGATAGCAGACTAATAATTTGTTCTTCCCTCAGGTGAAACCTTTCTCTTTTTTTATTACTGCTTGGTTCTCAAGGAAGCAGGATGTCTTCAACTGATGTAATGTTGCCCTTGGGGGACACAGCATTACTGATCCATTGAGGCCTCAACTTCTGACTGGAGGTACACGGAGTTATGTAACCACATACAACAGCCAGCTGGAGGGTAAGGAGACATTAGGTCTCAGACAGCTCTAATCATAATTTAATTATGGAATAATTTTTCCCCAGAATTATATAGAATGGCTCTTAACAGGAGTGTTCCTGGTGGTCTCTGGCTTCAGGCAGTGACTCACCGGTGACTTGCCCTGCAGTTTCATTTCTTCTGTCTTAGCTCAGATCATCATGCCTCCACCATGGTCCCCTTAGGTGGTGGTCCTTGTGATACAGGAGAAGTAATATAACTCCCAACCTGCTAGATGTCATATACATAGAGTTCATGTTCCCCCAAATTGAAGAATGAATTCTAAGGCGCAGCGGAGGTTAAGAGTAGGAAAAGTTTATTGAGAGAGAGAGAGAGCGAGCCACTGAGAGGCAGGAGAGGACCAGAGTGGGTTGCCAATGAGCCTTCTTAAAGTTTTATAGAGCAAAATCATGAGGTGGGTACAACATGGGTCAAAACAATGATCAACCAATAGGATTACAAGTATAGCTGTTTAGGTAACTTTGATCCAATGGGGAAGTAGGTCACGTAGCAAATGTACATGGAAAGAATTAGGACCATTTTAGGAAGGGGTGGATCAGAAGGTCCTTGTCACCCACCTGGGTGACTGATGTCTATCTAAACTTTAGTGGTCCAGGAGAAACCAATTATCCCTTGGGAAGGCATGTAGACCTGACCATTCCATCTTTATCTTGAGGCCTGGCCTCCAACAGATGTGCTTCCAGCCGCAGTTGTAATGTAGTCTCACCGTCTGCACTGACTCCCCGAGGGCCTGACCCAGACTGACTACCTATAATGTTTCCACCTAACTTAGCTGTCTGTGATACTTGTATTTTCTGAGTAGCTTCTTGGTGGAGCATTTCCAAGCCTCCTCAGGCAGCAAACTCCTTGGCACCTGTGGAAAAGCCGTGGAGTCGCGTGCTGCTTGCTTCTCTCCCTTGGGCAGATGCAATCCACATCCCCAGCAGATGTCCACCCAGTTCAGAATGGGGCCTTGGGTCCCTTTGTGGCCAGCACCACACATACCCAGCTCTTCCCTTTGGAGCTCACAGGAGATGGGGGAAGCCGTCATAGGAAGGTGGAGAGAAGTCTGTTCACCCCAACCTGCTTTTATAGTGAGGTGAATGGGGGGTATTATGTGAAGGTGATAGAGCTAGCCTGAGTTCTTGTCCAATGTGTGGTGGACTTTTTATTTTTTTAAAAATAATGTGGGAAACACACAGCACATGTAGTTTTTGGTTGTGGTTCCTAGTGCCATTTCTAAGGAAGAAAAAGTTGTTCTGTTCCACAGTCTGTTACTGTCCTTTCCTCTCTCTCCATCACCAGTAGGCAGGAAATTATCAGGTGGGGTTGGAGTAGGGCTGATCACACCAGTCCAGTTACACAGTGCGGGGAGAGGGCCATGCTGGTGGCTGTTACTTTGACACGTTCTGTCAACCAGCCTAGCTGAGCAAGGTGTGCATGTGCAAAAATTGGAGCAATGACTCTGGAGAGAGGTCAGACACCAGCTGCCTGAGGCCTTGCACACCATGCCCCAGACTTTGGTCTGGGGTTTACCATGTGTGGCCAGATTATATGGTGAATGTTTAAATTAAAAATATTATTATAGTAAAAGACATGTTGCCATTAATTTCCTAAAAATACTCACCCTGGCATTGAACATACTTATCCCATGGTTCTGGAAGTTCTCTTTTATGTCTTAATTTTCGTGTCAGGGTCCCACTTTGTAACCCAGGCTGGCCTTGAACTCCTGACAATGCTCCTGCCTCATCTTCCCAAGTGCTGGGATTACAGGCGTGCACCACCACGCCCAGCGTGTGTCTTTTTGAGTTGTGATAAAAAATACAAAGAATGCTGCTGCTGAGTGCCATCCAATGGAAAGGCAGCTCATAAAAACATGACTACATAAATATAAAGGGAACAATTCAAGAGGAAGAGATAACAATCATGAATATATATTTACCAAATACTAATGCCCCCAAATATACAAAATAAATGTTGGAAAAAATTTTTATCAGCTGTTCCTCCGACAAAGGTCTACTATCTAAAATAAATAACTCAAAAAAATCAGGACCCCCCCAAATATAAAGACACAATTCAAAAATGGGCATCTGAAATGAATGGACATTTCTCAGACAAGAACTCAAAAAAATCAGGACCCCCCCCAAATATAAAGACACAATTCAAAAATGGGCATCTGAAATGAATGGACATTTCTCAGACAAAGAAGTAAAAGCAGCAAATAATCATATGAAAAAATGTTCAACATCACTGGTCATTTGAGAGATGCAGATGAAAACAACACTGAGATTCCACCTCACCACTGAAAGAATGGCTGCTATCAAGAATGCTATCAAGAAATCAACCAATAACAAATGCTGGTGGGGTTGTGGGGAGATAGGAACCCTTCTTAATTGTTGGTGGGAGGGCAGACTGGTGCAAACACTGTGGAAATCAATATGGAGCTACCTCAAACAAATAGGATTCGAAGTCCCATTTGACCCAGTTATTCCTCTGCTGGGTATATTCCTCAAAGAATTAAAAGAATCATACCACAGTGATATATGCTCACCCATGTTTATAGCGGCACAGTTTGTCATAGCTAAAACTTGGAAACAGCCCTATTGCGCATCAACTGGAGAATGGACAAAGAAGATGTGTGTTTGTGTCTGTGTGTGTTTTGACTGGAATGCTACTCAGCCATAATGAATTTTAAAGTAGAAAGATTTATAGCTAAATGGATGCACATTGAGGCCATACTCTTAAGTGAAATCAATAAGTTACACATATGTAAATACCGAATAGTTTCTGCAGTGTGAAAAAGTAAAAGTGTAAATAAGGATTAAAATAATTGATATTGATAATTGATATTGTGTAATAGGAAGAAAAGTCTAAAAGAGTAGAGGAAGTGGGAGGGGTAGGGGAAAGGTAAAAAGGGAAAAGAAAAATGTGAAAAGGAAAAACATGGAGACAATATCTTTGTAAACAGGGAAGGGTAGAGGGGCTGAGGGGAGGGCTGGGGAATGGGGAAAAATAAGAACCTGATAAGTCATGTATAGGTAAAGATCCCAATGATGAATGTAACTGTATTGTATACCTAATATGTACCAAAAATTTTAATAAAGCTAAAAACGAACAAAAAACAAGACAAACAAAAAACCAAGATTGAGCCCAGCCTTGGCCATTTAGTGACTTAGTGAGACCCCGTCTCAAAATAAAAATATAATTGGCCTGAGATATAACTCAGTGTCCTGGATTCAATTCTCAGTCCCCTCCCCCCATTAGGAGACCCCCTGATCAGTGAGATTTCTTATGGTGGGGATCTGGAGCAAAGCTACTGCTAAAGCTGGCTTGTGCTGGGAGAGATGATGAGCTTGACTTTTGGACTCTACAGATCAAGTCTGTCGTTTTTGGGACGGTTTGGGATCAGGAGACATTGTGGGACATTTGACTCAGAGTAATCCTTTGTTCTGTCCCTATTTGTAAAGTCCTTCAATGATAAAATCTCATTGTGTAATAAAGGACAGAAACTGATTTCCTATCAGTATTCTGTATCTATGCTCTTAAAAGAGCCACTGCTATGCAGGGAAATAGCTAATGATATAATTGAAAAAGCATTAATAGCCTATAAAATTCAATATTAGGTTGAAGGACACTCTAGAGGTCGTTTAAAGCTAAATGATGCGGAAGCATGCTACAAGCCCAGAGCCTGCAGTGTCAGAGCCTCAGAATTACCTGAAGAACTCTTCAAGGTCACCGAGGAAGGAGTGTGTGTGTGTGCATGTGTTTGCTTTGCATTCTGCTCACTTGAGAAAACCTTTCACATCAGAAAGCTTTCACAGGGTCAATGTGTGACAGCCACCTTCCATGTCTACACAGTTGCAAAGAAAATCTAGAGTTTAAACTCCACTCCTCACTACACTGCATATGTCCCGCGAGGCTACTACATCTCTAAGAGCTTTATTTCCTTATTTGCAATTCATTATTTTACACTTTCACTTTGAATTAACGCAGAATTTTACATTTACACCCCCTATCAGATGAACTTGAAAGCATTTCTTTTTGTGACAATGAGTAGACAAGAATGCCCCTGGGTTAGTCCATAACTAGAGTTCATCCTTCTTTTGTAATGGAGAGAGGATCTGATTGTTCGGTGGTAAATGATGAAGTGTCCTGTATTAATCTCCCAGTTGCTTGATTCCATAATTCACCTTGGCAAAGTAGAAAAATAAAAAATAATAATAAAGAGCCTCCTCATTGTGAGAAGCCTGGGAGAACAGCAAACCAGGATGAATAAAATATTTTCAGTGACTGAATCACAGGAGGTAACTGAGAATGAAATGCTCCCAGGAAGAGGTTTCCTGGGTGCTTTTGGAGGTTTCTGAGAGTGTTTAATCCCAGAAGCATCAATTTCTCTCCTTCTGAGCCCAGGATCAGCTGGGAGAGTAAGATGAGGAGCACCACATTCCTTTCACTGGTACAAAATTGGTTTATAAGCTTGTTAAAGTGTTGGACTAATAACATTCCTTTCACTGATGCTAAAGATTCACTTTTTTCCCTCAAAATTGACTATGTGAATGACACAGATGTTGTTTTATCCGTGCCTGCAATTTAACTACCTGGCTGGTATGTCAGCCTCTGAAGGGAATAACAAGCTAATTCTAGTGTTGTTACAATCTAGCTAGTATTGTTACAATCTATTGTCACCCTAAATAACAGACAGAGAGGGGCTCTCTAAAGCGTAATGGCATTCATTTGGGAATTGCAGTGGGAATACAGGTGCCATGACAAAATGGGAGTCATTTAAGGAGGCTGCGGAAAAGGGGAAGTTTTCAAAGGCAGAATGAGGAGGGATGCATGCAAAAAAAAAAAAGTTTGAAATAACAATCCTTGGGTACAAAGAGCAACAGGACGCTGTCAGTCCAGGTTTAGACAGAGAGTTGTTGAGCAGATGACCTTGCAGAAGTGTTTTTGTTTTGTTTTGTTTTTTATAAGTTTGAAGTAGGTTTTGGGCAAGGAGAGGGATCTGGCCAAGTCTTTTGTGATCACTCCTGCTGTTAGGCAGTGCAATGAGATCTCCTTCACAGCCTTTGTCTTCCTGTATTTTATTTTATGTTTGGTTTGGGCTTGACACAGGTGACCGCTTTGATTCTGACAAGTTTGGCACTGTCACATTTCAGACCCAGTTTCCTTAATGCTAAGCCACCTTCTTCAGTAGCCCCTGTCAGAGCCACAATGCTTACTAGAAACTTGTTCTGTGTGTGTGTGTGTGTGTGTGTGTGTGTGTGTTAATATTTGCACTGGGGATTCAGCCCAGGGCTTTCGCTTGCCAGGCAAGTCCTCTAAGCACTCTACAACTGAGCTACATTCCCAGCTCTTTTTTTTTTTACTTTTTAAATTTTATTTTGAGGCAAGTTTTCACTATGTATCCTAGGCTGGCCTCAAATTTGTGATCTTCTTGCCTCAGCTTCCCAAATAGATGGAATTGTAAGTGGGTGCTACCATGCCTGCTGAGCTACTTGCTTTTAAACAGAGGTACTGATGTGCTTGAATAGAGGGAGTACTTTTTAAGTCCCTCTTTTTGATGATTCTTGTTGAATGTCACTCTCTAAGGTTATGTGAGTAAATTAAGCCTTTCTGGGTGTCTTTCCTCATGGTTCAAAGGTCCACTTTTGCCTTCATGTTCCTTAGTCTTGGGTGCCAAAAGCCCACTGATCATCCAAGCAGATGGTATCTGGCTTGACTGTCAAGGCCTTCAAGGCAGCAGACTGCCCAGGAGCTCTCTTTCTGTAGAGAAAGTGGCTGCTGAAAAAGGCTGGGTGAGAAGACCTAGCCCCAATGAGAAGGATCTTGGGAGACCTGCACTGTTCTGTGTGTGGCTGGTTTTCGGAACCCAGGGGCAGGTCGGTGGACAGACAGGAGACAGGGGGGAGGTCTGACAGCCCCAGAGTGGGCTGGAGACCCAGTGGTGGGGTCTGGAGGTCTTCAGTGCAGCGTTGGGTGTGTGGTGGCAGTGACATGGATCCCTGTGCAAACCTCTACCTCTGGCTTTTGGAATGAACTGCCGGACACCACCAAATCCAGGGAGCAGGCTGATGTGGGAGGGTGACATCATCCTGTTTCATGTGCCTCTCCAAGCCATCTTGCCGACTCTCTTTGGGTCACATTCTCACTGTAACTCTATACCAACAGTGTTTTCAAGAGGCATCCCATTAAGGGCTGAATAAAAGTTATTTTGGGTGTAAATGTCTCCAACCAATCAGAACACACGAAATTCTCAATTTGGGCTCCTTGAGGCAGGTCTGGCCAGTTGAGGAAAATTGTTATGCAAAATGGACCCATTTCTAGTATACTCCACTATGATGGAGTTGGGAGCCACAGGGGAAAACGCTCAGGTCCTGAGCCTCTGTTGCAGGAACTATCTGCTAAGACCAAGCTGACGAAACAGCCCCCCTTAACTTGAAGACTAATTTTACTTAGCAACTGACAACAACCTTTTTGGAATTCCCCGGAGAAACTGAGCATTTACCTCATCCCAAAACCATGTTTTCGTTACAACAGGAACCGGCCTCCTTTGCCCGTTTCCCTTCTGGGAATTGCTCGCTTTTGAAGCCCAGCCAAGCCCGGGATCCTGTCTGACGCCAGCCACTCCCACGTTTGTACACGTCTGCGAGCAGTCTGCAGGAAGCTCAACTCCTTCTCCCTGGCCGCTGGGTTTGGACTGTGTTCCGCGTCTCTTACTGTGTCCTCCACGTACGTGACCACACGTCAGGCTGCACGCTTCCACCCTTGCAGCTGGGTCTTCCTCCCTCCTTCCTTCCCTTCCTCTTTTCCTTCCAGGGAGTCCATCAGATCCCAACTCCCAGTTTTCCCCAATCCATTTAATCTGGCCATGCTGTGCCTTGCCAAGCCTTTTCCCTGGGGGCTGATAGGGTTGGAGGAAAATTAAACTCTATGACTGGACTCATTTCCAACCTGGCTGCTCTTTTCTCCTCTTCTTTTAGGGTCCATTTTATAACTATTCAGGGCCCACAGGAGGCGAAGGCATTCTTCTCTGGCCCCCAGAGCTCCTGGAGGTCCCAGTGGGGACATCGCTACCTGCTGGAAGTCTCAGGTCTGGTGTCTCCACGGAGTGTTATTCACCTTACCTCACTGCCCTGCATCCGACCACCAGACAGTGAGGTCCCAAGGACAGTGACTCGCTTACAAATTGCTTCAGCTTGCTGCTTCTCCAGTGCACGCATGCAGGTACGAATGAATGAGTGAATTATTTCTCTGTCTCCTGCTGCTCAGCTTTCTGTTGCTCGTCCTTTTTATACCCAGGTCTGGTTTAGGACAAAGCCTGTTCGGTTTTAGGAGCACTCATCTTTGCTTGGATCACACAAGGAGAGACAGGAGGGGCAGAAAGCAGCCAGCAGAACTCCAGCCAGGCGCCAAACCTGTGTGTCTTAGTGTTCTAAGTACATAAAAAAAATGCTGCTGTATCCACAGACCAACAATTATCTCATTAAATAATTCCTCAGACCTTGATTTAACTGTTAAGAAAGATGTTTTGATAAAGAACATCTGCTGTTGTTTCCAAGTAAATATTGTACCACTAAACTTTGATTAAAAACTGGCTTAAAAATTTAATAGCCCCTCTGTAGAAGACGGCTAACTGCAAAAAGAAAAATGTCACTTATTTAAATTGGTTTCTTCCCCTCCTTTGTTGCTCAATTTCAACTGGGTTCCCATAATGATGGCTTAAAACCCACGCAATTTTGGATGCAGTAAATTGAGATGCATAAATAAGATTACCATACCAATACTGCTGTTTTCACTCTTTTCCTATTGATATCTCATTTCAGTTTTATGCTTTAATTAAATTGAGTGTATTTTATGTTCCAGTTTGCTTTAAAACAACTGCAGTGCATGTAATTGACACTATTTCATCTCTGTTAGAAAGTGCTGAGTTGGATCAAATATACTAGTTCCATTTCCTTTTATGTTTAACCTGTGGAAAAACTAAGACAGAAATAATAAGAAATTGTGTTTCTTTTCCAAGTTTCTCTGTTAGGTGAGAATAACGACTTAGTAATTACTAATAAAGATTGAAATGACACCTTTACTTTTAGCATAATTTTTATCTATATAAAAATAGATATTTAGTAGTCTAAGGTACTCTTACTTAGTATTTTTCCCAAATGGTGTGTAACAAATAATAAATACATCATTGCTATTCCACTTATTCCATATAAAGCATAAATCTTCAAATATATGTTTTAATTGGTTGGGTTTAGACTAAGTATTTATGATAAAGAAATTATATTATGCTGTATTTCTATAGAGATTGGCAAAAGGATTGTAAATTTTTCGACTTTGTGGGCCAGACTATCTCACAACTACACGTCTGCTGGTGCAATATGAAAGCAGCCATAAATGCTACGTAAACAGATGACCATGGCTTTGTTCCAGTAAAACTTTATTTATAAAACAGGTGGTGGTCTGTGTGTGACTCAGTAGCTGTACTTTGCTAATCCCTATTATCAAGGATAATGAACAAGTCCTAGGCAGAGTTTGCAGGTGAGAAAAATCAACAGGTCATTTCACTATCTAGGGTCCAGAATCTACTTTTAAAAATAAACTATAAATATATTTTAGTTTGTCTTGTGATAGTTTGTATTAATTTACTTTATTGATTCCAATATTATAATTTCCACCTACATCTTGTATTTCAGAGTAGGGACCTAGGCTCATCAGCAATTTGCAAGTCTGAATTAAGTTGTTCTATAATCATCCCAATTAAAATTTGCGATTTCCTTTCGCATAGTGGTTGCAGCTGGTTTATTTTACACACAAACCTGGTTTATGTGAAGTTGAATTTTGTAGGCTCTCCACTTCATACCATTGCCTGTGAAGTTCCAGTTAGGGGTGGGAAGAGGGTCTAGTATAGTGAAAGAGCCACGTTTAATTGGTTTTGAAAACTGGATGTCATTATTTCACTAATAAAAACTTGGAAAGTTATTTCTCCTAGTCCTTTGTGCAGCCTGATGACTTCTTCCTTGTACAGAAATGGGCCTGAAGAATGTGCTAGGTGCCTGACCCACATTCCTGTGATGTTTCCACATGGTCTCTGCCACCCAGCTTTCTGGAGACACACCATTCTTATTCAAGAGCCGTCACTGACTTCTGTATCACCCGCCTGGCAGTGGAATTAGCTACCTCGTGGTCCGAAGTTGCTGACATGAGGGTTGCTTATTAGTGGGCGTTGCCTCAGTGAAAGGCTAGAGCCCCAAGATGTTCATTTCCAAACGAGTGGGTGCACCTGCCCAGATGTAGCTTGCCAATTATATGCAGGGCAGAGGAGACCAACACAGAGGCAAAGCCACCTTCTGCCTTCAGCTCCAGTGTTTTGCTGTGTAGGCAACACTGTCTTACATGTTTAAAGCAGTGCTGATCATTACTGTGCAGTAAATTATGCAAGAAATTAATATTTATATGCCATTTCATTGAGGGTGTATTATGTAAAAGGAATTTTGAACACATTTTCTTCTTACACTAATTATATGAGGTAGGAATTATTATATTTGTTTTCCTCAGTATAGGCAACTGAGCCCAGGTCCCTCCAAGACCATTTAAAAAAACTTTTTGTTTTTGGTATCGGGAATCGAACTCAGGACTTTGAGCTTGTGAGGCAGGTGGCGGAACCACTGAGCCAAATTCCCGGCCCTAAAAAACTTTTTTTTTTTTTTTTTTTTTTTTTTTTGAGGGAGGATCTGAGCCTCTCAGTTGCCCAGATGAGCCTTGAATTTTTAATTCTTCTACCTTAGCCTCCCAGAGTGCTGGGTAATTAAAGAGTTTGTGCCACCATTGGTGTTGTTAGTACTTAGGGAAAGGAAGGCTTACAGACATACTACGTATTTGTTTTTTTGTGGTTCTAGGGATTGAACCTATGGTCTTGTGCATGCTAGGCAAGTGTTCCGCCATAGCCCAAAGCCCAGAGAATTAAAATAATTTGCAGAAGTTGGCAAAGCTGGTAAGTGGGGAGGCTGAGATTTATGCTCAGATTACTTTGGAACCAAAGACCTCATTTTTCTCTTATGATGTATTTTGATATAGCTGCAGCTCAGGAGCTCTCAACGCCTGTAACTTAGTCACAAGAGTCTGTGCAGTAGACCCTGGACATAGACATTTGTTTGTAGACTTGAGTTTTTAGTGCAGTTTTAAGTTCACTGCTAGAATAAGCAAGAAGTACAGAGTTTCTGCCCATGGTAGCTTCCCCACCACCAACATCCCCCACCTGAGTGGTACGTTAGTTGTCCCTGATTATGTACATCGGTACAGTCTCACTCAGAGCCTGTATTTACATCAGGATGAGCTCTTAACATTGTACGCTCTGTTTAGTCAAATGTGTCCCATATAGCGGTGTCATACAGAGCACTGCCCTGAAAACCCTCTGAGATTGGCCTATTTATCCCCCCCGCAGCCCTTGTCAACTGCTCATCCCTCTGCTGCCTCCATGACTTGCAGTTCCCAGAATGGCTCAGAGGTGGATCATATAGCAGGTAGCCTTTACAGATTGGCTTCTTTCCCTTCACAAAATGTGCACACATTTCCTCTAAGAACGTAGATATTTTTCAGAACATGCTAGGTGATGCTAATGCACAGCCAAGACTAAGAGCATTGGTCTCAGGTTGCTTGCTAAGTGGCCAAGGCTCATCCTCTGCACTCTTGCTGTGTCTCTGTGTGTCACTTTATGCTGCCACAGCACCCACAGGTGGCCTCCAGCACCCAGCTTGTGCCCTCCGCATGAATATACCCAGTGCTGCCACGTGCACCCGTGATTGTCAGTTCCATCTTACCATGGTTGCAATGTTGGATTATCACTGAGAGGGGCTTTGTGTAGCATCTTATCATCTGATTTTTACCTTTCACTTGGGAAGAAGCCTAGAGTAAGTCCCATGGAGATGATGAACCGTGGTGGTCCCTGACTCAGGGCGGCAGCATCCGGGAAGGAGATGAACTTGAAGCTGAATGCTGAAGTGAGGTAAGAATATCAATAGACTGACAAGAACGGACCCTTCTGGAAGAGAGGGAACAGCTTGATGGAAGATATGCAAGCAGGGACCTAACAAATATTTGACTGCCCCATATGAGCCAGCTGTCTCGATGGTGTGTTCTGCCCACCAGTGGGGCAGTCATTGTGTGGCATATACCTGTGTACACACATGTGTAGCAGCAAGTAGCTCTGCTAAAGCCAGTGAGTCCCCTGAGACAAGCCTCAGCTTCACTTTTTGCCTGTAGATCCCTGAAGAGACCCAGCATCTCTCACAACTCTTGAAAGGTGCGGCCTATGATGCCTTCCCTTTACCTGCCTGATTGGACCAAGGACAAATGCTGAAACTATAGCCGGGGAACCAATTAGATGATCGCTTTTGGTAATTTTAACCAAGAAACACAGATCTTTTATGGTACTAGATGACGCTGGTTGTGAGAGTTCATGTATTTACTAAGAGCTGGCTGGCTGCTTCATGCTGCTCTAGGGTCAGTGGCTGTGATGGTGTGGGAGGAGGACAATGTCCTCTTCTCCTGGAACTTAGAGTTGAGTAGGAAATGAACAAGTAAATATATATGAACATTTCAGGGGTACCAAAGGCAATGGATAAGACAGAGGAATTGGGAAAGATATCAACGGGGGGCGGTTAGAGAAGGTCTTTCTAAGAAGGTGACAGAGGCTAGTGGGCTTGGGGTCAAGGCCAACAAACAGGAAACTAGTTGAGGAGAAAATGAGGGTAAGCACTGAGTCCGCTAGAAACTGGAGAGGGAGGAGTGATGTGGTTGCTGAGAGATGTAAGGAGGCAAAGGAAATTTGTGCTTGATTTTTGGGTCCTTTGAGTTCCACTTCTATTTCTTTCCTGTATTCTTTCAGTAACACCTGTAGGTGCACACACACACACACACACACACACACACACACACGAACATACCCTCTTGAGTTAGCTTGAGTAGGTCTTGAGTTCTGCATAGGAAAGGATTTAAGAATGGGTAAATTTAGGGAGTTTCTCAGGGGCTTAGAGAGCCCCTTAGAGAGCTTGGGATTTTTTTTCTCTCTCTGAGAAGGATTTTGAACAGTGTACAGCATCTTTGTGCTTTGGTGCTAGGGAAAACACATTCTTTCTTCGAGAACAGAAAGCGTCTGATTGTACTGAAGCATGCTTTCCCCTGCCAACCGCTGGAATGAAAACAACCGCCATCCCTACTGCCAGCAACCTGGCCAGCCACCACCTGTTCTTAATGCCTACGAGGTGCGTTAACTTCGCCAGGCAGCTCCAACTGCACCTGGGATGCAAAAACATCCTGCATTTCTCCAAACACCACAGCAGGGCTGTTTAAACGGCACATTATCCAGGAAATAGTCATTATCTCCACACCTCCCGCACTTGGTGTGGTGGGTTATTGGATGAGCTTCGGAGGCTGCTCCTGGGAGTGCCAGTGCTATGGGCCTATTCTCCCATCCATGGGCGGCGCTGTCAGCGGGCCAGGGGAGCTGTGCTCCTCCTCAGCAAACCCGGGGAACTGCTTGCATCCACACATGAAGAAACGGGAGCAGACTGGTGAGCGGAAGGAGACTACTCTGAGGGGTGCATCTTCACGGGGAGCGCTTGGCCAGTGTGAAGGGGACAAGGTGGAGGCAAATGGATGAGTCTCTCTCCACTTCCTCCCCAGGCAAACAAGAGGTCTCCCTGTCAGCCATCACCTGGGGTCCTCTCTGCCCTCATTTCCCCCGTCCTTCCTCTGTCTGACAGCAGTCATAGCTGACCTTCAACAATAAAGAAACGGTTGCCAGTTTGGGCTGGCAGGTGGGTAGTCGATAGCTGTGTGAGACGTTAAAGGTGCCCTGCATTTTACAGCTAGGAATCGTGACCCTCCGATGTACCCAGATGTGTCTGCCTATTCTTTTGTAGTCTTTAAACTTTACATAAAAGTCAAATCTTTAGTCAAGCGGATTGTGGATCTGGCTAAGAAGCAGGTCAACTGAGCTGTATTTCCGAGGGCAGTGAGGGTAGGCATGCTGCAGTAAAGCAGAGATACAGTGCTTTTAAGCTCGGG